TATATATATATATATATATATATATATTAGTTAGCTTAGTTAATTTTATACATGCATTATATATCTATGTATGTGTGTGTATAAAATTAACATTATATGCATTATAAAATAAATGTAAAAAATTTCCGTTTGTTTGTTTACAAGTACGTTGTATACAGTGGGTACGGAAAGTATTCAGACCCCCTTAAATTTTTCACTTTTTGTTATATTGCAGCCATTTGCTAAAATCATTTAAGTTAATTTTTTTTCCTCATTAATGTACACATAGCACCCCATATTGACAGAAAAACACAGATTTGTTGACATTTTTGCAGATTTATTCAAAAAGAAAAACTGAAATATCACATGGTCTTAAGTATTCAGACCCTTTGCTGTGACACTCATATATTTAACTCAGGTGCTGTCCATTTGTTCTGATCATCCTTGAGATGGTTCTACACCTTCATTTGAGTCCAGCTGTGTTTGATTATACTGATTGGACTTGATTAGGAAAGCCACACACCTGTCTATATAAGACCTTACAGCTCACAGTGCATGTCAGAGCAAATGAGAATCATGAGGTCAAAGGAATTGCCTGAAGAGCTCAGAGACAGAATTGTGGCAAGGCACAGATCTGGCCAAGGTTACAGAAAAATTTCTGCTGCACTTAAGGTTCCTAAGAGCACGGTGGCCTCCATAATCCTTAAATGGAAGACGTTTGGGATGACCAGAACCCTTCCTAGAGCTGGCCGTCCGGCCAAACTGAGCTATCGGGGGAGAAGAGCCTTGGTGAGAGAGGTAAAGAAGAACCCAAAGATCACTGTGGCTGAGCTCCAGAGATGCAGTCGGGAGATGGGAGAAAGTTGTAGAAAGTCAACCATCACTGCAGCCCTCCACCAGTCGGGGCTTTATGGCAGAGTGGCCCGACGGAAGCCTCTCCTCAGTTCAAGACACATGAAAGCCCGCATGGAGTTTGCTAAAAAAACACCTGAAGGACTCCAAGATGGTGAGAAATAAGATTCTCTGGTCTGATGAGACCAAGATAGAACTTTTTGGCCTTAATTCTAAGCGGTATGTGTGGAGAAAACCAGGCACCTGTCCAATACAGTCCCAACAGTGAAGCATGGTGGTGGCAGCATCATGCTGTGGGGGTGTTTTTCAGCTGCAGGGACAGGACGACTGGTTGCAATCGAGGGAAAGATGAATGCGGCCAAGTACAGGGATATCCTGGGCGAAAACCTTCTCCAGAGTGCTCAGGACCTCAGACTGGAACTAAGGTTTACCTTCCAACAAGACAATGACCCTAAGCACACAGCTAAAATAACGAAGGAGTGGCTTCACAACAACTCTGTGACTGTTCTTGAATGGCCCAGCCAGATCCCTGACTTAAACCCAATTGAGCATCTCTGGAGAGACCTAAAAATGGCTGTCCACCAACGTTTACCGTCCAACCTGACAGAACTGGAGAGGATTTGCAAGGAGGAATGGCAGAGGATCCCCAATTCCAGGTGTGAAAAACTTGTTGCATTTTTCCCAAAAAGACTCATGGCTGTATTAGATCAAGAGGGTGCTTCTACTAAATACTGAGCATTTTTCAGTTTTTCTTTTTTAATAAATCTGCAAAGATGTCAACAATTCTGTGTTTTTCTGTCAATATGGGGTGCTGTGTGTACATTAATGAGGAAAAAAAATTAACTTAAATGATTTTAGCAAATGGCTGCAATATAACAAAGAGTGAAAAATTTAAGGGGGTCTGAATACTTTCCGTACCCACTGTATATAGAGAGAGAGAGAGAGAGAGAAAAAAAATCCAAATAGAAAATGTAGAGAATACAGAGATATATACCGTATATCACATTTCAGCCAAAAAATACAGAGATATGAGTTTTTGGTAAAACCAGGACTCAAAGGTTTTCATGCTGAATGAAGTGATGGGAAAAGCAGAGTGTACCTTCTTGGCCAGCTTCAAGTCCTCAATCAGGTCCTGTTCTCCCTGAGACAGCTCAAAGATGGCCTGACGAACAGAGGACAGGAAAGAAACAACAAAAGAAAGATTAACTTCAGTAAGATGTATAATCTTTGAAGAGGAAAAAAATCACATAGGATGCATCTTGCAGACATTCTGGTAATAGTGTCAATAGCATTTACCCATTTATAAGTCAAGCTTATACATGCATTACTCTGAGGTCGCTGGTCTAAGTCAAAAGACGATCTATCCCCAAGATCTATCGATTTTCTAACCTATTTGTGGAGCACGGGATAAATTATGCACCCAAGATGAACACAGATTTTAGATTTCTGCTGAATATTTCATTTTCCATTTCATTTTGGAAGGTCCACCGATGTGAGAGTGGGTTTGGACTGTGGTGAAGTCACCTCTTGTCTCTTGATCTCTGTGGAGGACAGCATATGTCCCAGGCCCAGGTCGAATGTCTCGCTCCAGAGCTTGCTGTCGCGGCGTTTGGTGATGGCTGGTGCTATCTGCCGGCCCCACGGCCTGCAGTCGCTGCGGAAGCTGATGGAGCGCTGAGGAGACAGGACAACAGGGAAAACAGTTCAATAAACTCTTCCATTAAAAAAAAGAAGATTTTTCCAACTATCATTTCATATGTCAGGCTTTACAGGGTTAATAAGCTCTCTAATGAACAAAGCAAACTTTGACAAGGTTGTTTCTCAGTCAGTTCTCAACAGCATCAAATCAGTATTAATGTTTAAGGTCTTATAATCATGCAGTAAAGACAGCTTAATAATAATATGGTTCTGGTGTTTTAATGTTCTATTTCTGGTTGTTTTGTGTATTGACTTAAATTATTTGAACACAAAATATAAGTATTACAGCACCAGAGCAGACTGGATGAAATTCTAGCACATCTATAATAAGTTAATACAGGTTACTGGAGCAGATCCTGCGGTCGGGCCTGTACCTGCAGCGTCTGTCCGATGCGCTTGAGCGGAGCAGCTTTGACTGGAGAGATGAGACTCGCCAGAGACGTGACTCGAGACAGAGGCTTTACACGCTTGCTGCTGGGCTCCTGAAGATCACAAACACACACTAGATGAACACCTCACACCCACAGCTAGTGAAGGTTACACCACTCATGTGAGAGAGGCTTCAGTCTGTCTGGGTGACTCCCACCAAACCGCCCTCTAGCATAATGTGAGGCATACTCAAATAAGACTTATTAAAAGGTTTCTGGAAATCTTTGTATTACCAGTCATATATGTCTCTGAGTCAATAGTTGCTTCTAGCTATGGAAACTCTTACACAAGAGTTAAACACAGATTGCATGTCACAATGATTTACTATCCATCTTGAGTGGTCCAATGGATGTTGCATTGTAAAATTATTTTACAATATAATTCTGTCAAAGAACAATTTCAGCTTCCTATCTAGTCCCTCAACATATATACTCATGTTCATGTACCTTGTAATTAGTGGTCGACCGATATATCACCAAGGCCGATATATCGGCCGATATTTGACATTTTTCATATATCGGCATTGGCCGATAAGTTTTTCTGTTTGGCCGATTCGTTCGAGGCGGGACTTTTATTTTGACGGCGCTGTGAACGGCAGCGCCTGAACACACAGTGCTCACATTCTCTCTCATGTTCGCTGTTGTCATTCAGTTCTGTCTAATACGGACAGAAGTCTGTCTAATAATCAGATAGAACGGTTAAACAAAGGAATTA